TCAGGTGGGCTGTGTGACACTCAGGTGGGCTGTGTGGGCTCTCAGGTGGGCTGTGTGACACTCAGGTGGGCTGTGTGGGCTCTCAGGTGGGCTGTGTGGGCTCTCAGGTGGGCTGTGTGACACTCAGGTGGGCTGTGTGGGCTCTCAGGTGGGCTGTGTGGGCTCTCAGGTGGGCTGTGTGACACTCAGGTGGGCTGTGTGGGCTCTCAGGTGGGCTGTGTGGGCTCTCGGGTGGGCTGTGTGACACTCAGGTGGGCTGTGTGGGCTCTCAGGTGGGCTGTGTGACACTCAGGTGGGCTGTGCCACTCTCAGGTGGGATGCGCGACTCTCAGGGCTGTCTGGGCGTGCAGCATGGTGTCAGGGAGCCGGAGGATTAGAAGGAGGAGCAATCACAGATGCAGTTGCCGAGGTCCCAGGCAAGCGCGATCTTCCTCAGGCACAGGCTGCCCGCAGCTCAGAGGAAGATCCGGTTTCAGGCCGATGCGGCTGCCCGGGATTGAGCTTCTGTCAGAAACTTTAAAGCGCCAGTGTCGGCACTGAGTGTCTTGTGTCCGGGTGCCCGCTGGCTGGAAACCCGGACACAAGACTCCAAAACCAGACTGTCCGGGCGGAAAACAGGACGGTGGCAACTCTAACTGGCTCCTCTCCTGGACTGAAATGTCTTCCTCTGATGTCTCTGCACACTGGGAGCTCCTCACCATGTGCATTAGAAGCTGCAGCCAGTCAGATAGAGCTCCGCCTCATTTCCTTGCATCATCTACCACTTTTCACCCCAGCCTGACTGTCCCTGGACCCGCCCCTTTCATTCTTTGAATGTAATTTAGGCACTTCCTGTTATGGGGTGACAACACTCTTCCCCTTTCTCGCATTTGCACTCCTGTGTTGTCACGCAGTGGCTCCGATGGAGGCAAGTGGCCGCTTCTACGCACATTACACCGACATGGTGTTATGTTGTCACCGTCTGGAATCCCGCTCCGGAGAAATGCCGTGCAGCCATCCCTGGAATGGGCGTAGACAGGAAGTGGCTGCAAAGAGGCTGCATGAGACGAGCAGCACTGAGATGGAAAATGGAAATTGTGCTTTAGCTCGGAAAACTGGTGGCTCAGCTCAGTCTGGACCTTTCATTGAGAAGACTCGATACAGAAGCATTTGATACCATCAATAAACTAATAAAACTGAATCCTTCTCTGCGGCTCTGCCGCCCTTTGTGATGGAAATGCGGGCGAGACCTCCGGCTTGTAGGACCTGCATTGTACACACTGTGTGTGTCACTCAAACTTGCACAGCGCATACAATGTGGATGCTAAAGGCCGGCACCACTTCGGCAACGATCTTCCCATAACATATCATGTGGATTCAACGTTCTTTATACCTGTGATTTACCTGGGAAATCCTCCCTTGTGTAGACACCCGGAATCCCCGAGACTTCCGCTGGGGGCCGCCATCTTGGATGTGATGTCACTGGCCCCAGCAGACTCACAGCTGTCAATCAAGTGACTCTATAGCAGTGGTGGCGAACCTCGGCACTCCGGCTGTTTTGGAACTACAAGTCCCATGAGGCATTGCATGGCTCTGACAGCCACAGACATAACTCCCAGAGGCAGATGCATGTTGGGATTTGTAGTTTTGGCACAGCTGGAGTGCCAAGGTTCGCCACCACTGCTCTATAGTATTCACCCCCCTAGGCTCTTTGCCTGACAGCTACATAAAGGTTATGTAGGGAGGAGAAGGAAGGGATAAAGGAGATGGGCCAGCACAGACAGTGTTAGACACTCCCAGAAGAGAGGAGAGAGGACTATGACGTGCAAGGAGGGAAGGGGCTTTGCTGGAGGACTGAATATTCCCAGAGTAAATGTTCTAGAACATTCAAAAGTACATTAATGTATTAGAACCTTTTATACCAATTTGTGCATCTTAAAAAAATAAACTCAATGCTCCATCCGTTAGGCTTCCTTCCCTTCCTTCCTTCCTTTCTTTCCTTCCTTACATTCTCCCTTCCTTGCCTCCCTCCACCTTCTTTGCTTCCTTCCTTCCTTTGTTCCTTCCGCCCTCCTTTTCTCCCATACTTCCTTCTTTCCTTGCTTTCCTTCCCTCCTTCCTCCATCCCTCCCTCCCTTCCTATCTTCTTCCTACTTTCCTTGTTTTCCCCCCTCCCTTTCCTCCTTTTTTAATGTGTTCCTACCTTCTTTTGTTCCTTCCTCTTTCCCTGGATCTCTTCCTTTCTTCGGTTTTCCCTTTCTTCTTTTCTTCCTCCCTCTCTCCCTCCAGTTCCTCCTTCCTTCCCTCTTTTTTTTCTGTCCTCTTCCCCTCCCTTCCTTTCTTCTTTCATCTATTAGTTCTTCCTTCCTTCCGCCCTACTTCCATTTCTCTCTCTCCTTCTTTCTTTTCTCCCTCTCTTCCTTTCCCCTACTTTCCTTTCTTCTTCTTTCTATCTGTTCTTCCCTTCCTTCCTCCATACTTCCTTCTCTCCTTTCTCATTCCTTGGCTGATCCCTACCTCCCTTCCTTTTTTCCCTTACTTCCTTCTCATCCTTCCTTTTTCCCTTCTTTTCTTCTTCCTTTTATCTGTTCTTCCTTCCTCTCTCCATTCATTTCTTAATTCTTCCTTTCCACTTTACCTCTTTCATTCCATATTTTCTTCCTTCCTTCTATCCTTTGTTCCTTCCTTCCCTGTTTAAGCAAGATGAGACATGATACACAGTGGTAGCAAAAAGTAAATGAAAATAACAATCATTCGTAT